CCTTTCAAATATACAATCCTTTTTTGATAAACCACTTTGAGCCTCATCTAACGATAGACCTTTCTTTCTTCAACCCACATCTACATAACCTTGTGATGGGATGGTGTGTAACTTATGCAATTTTCAAAAAAAAAAAAAACAAAAGCTTGAGTGTATCAAAGACTAAAATAGCAAAAATATAAATAATAAAAAGTTTACAAAAGGGCAAGTGTTACAATGTCTTTGACATGAACATGTCTTTGATATGAACACGTCTCAGATTGCGTCTCTTATCGAGTTCTCGGTACCGTGCCTGAGAAACATGAATGCCAAGTGAGTGATATAACGCATGATCGGGATTTCCCACACTTATAAAAATAAAATAAATTATAAAGCAAAAGAGAGAGCAAAATATAAACAAAAAAAAAGAGAAAAGAGACCTAAAAAAGAGTTAAAAGCCTCAAGCATAAAAATATAAAGATTCAAAAGCAAGGTTGCACACCTTGGGGGCTTATCTAGGGTCTTGAGCTTTTATCCTTTTCTTCTTCAACCTTTAGCCTAACCACGTTACAACCCCTAAAAAGACCTTTTTGAGGTATACACACACTTGTGCGAGGTTCGGCTAAAGCTACATTCGGCCTGATTCCTAACGGATACGTAGGCAACCTCACATTGAGGTGCGGCCGTAACAAAAATGCATTCATATTCACATTCACACACTCATACCATGATCATATCAAGGGATCCCCTATGCTCATCCCTATCTACTTAGAGCTAGACTTGGGGGCTTGATCCCTACATTATTAGCTTACCTAGCCTAAAGAGTCACCATTATTTGACTATTCTAAAAATAATATGTTTTTCAACACACTTAACCTCTGCGGCCTAACTTTAGTGTCACTTTCACACACTGCACAGATACATGACCAAATAGTCTTCCCCTTAGGAACCCTTTGTCATGAAGTCTTAACACAACATTGAAGCATAATTCGTCATAAAAAAATCACTCATCACTCATCATTGCATCACAAAGTACGAAGTGCTTAGCCTCCGTGCCTAAGTTGCCCAAATACTTTCATCATTGAGTCAACAATTGAGATAGCCTAGGATGAATTAATCCTTGCACCTTGAAAAATAGTATCAAACAACATTTGACTAAGCTCATTCAACATGCACCATAAAAAACTTCTTCCTTTTATGTCTTTCTATTTCGGAAGAAAGTCGGTACCCTCCACAAAAAAAATGACGGAAATTTTTTGCATTTTTCGAGTCGTGCGATCACACTATAATGCACACACGAGTCATGTCGTGTCATATCATCTTGAATTTAGTCTAACACATGTGTAAAACACTTTGAGTCAAGTCATGACAAGTCATATGTGAGTAAAAATAAGCCTTAGGTCAACCCTAAGATAATTAAAGAGATGAGCAAAGTCCTATAGTCAAAAAATATAAATACAGGTACATTCCAAAGAGCAAACGAGTAAGAATATTCCCGGATTTTTTCGAAAGAAACCGCGAATATAAATGCATAAGATTCTTCTAAGAATAAGAGGAGGTTAAGCAAAACTTACAAATTGGAGATGAAGAGCTTTAATTTAAGAAGATTTGGTTGAAAGGAAATAACCAAGTTAAAGGTTCGGAGTGAAACTGGGCAATAAACAACAGCGGCATAAGGAGACGGGTTTAATCAAAAACCCTGATTTCAGCGCCAGATGACGAAATTGCCGCCAGGAGACAAGTAGAAAGAGCGGCAACAGCGTCTTCCAGCAGGCGCTGGTGCGGCAACAAAACGTGTGGCCCCTTAATGTGCTTATTGTGACCTCGTGTAGCAATTTGGGTTCCTTGGTGCGCCAGTTAGCCCCTATAAGCAATTTGACATGATTTAGTAATTGGCTCGATTACAATCACATAAAGTGATCGACCTGATAAAAGATCGTCTCACTTAGCTTAAAGCGCCTAAACATTGGCTCATAGCAAAGCACCGACATAATGGTTTACAAGTAGTAAAAAGCACCGACGTAATGGTTCACAAACAGCAAAAATGTGCCGACGTATTGGCACCGCGGAAATTACAGCGAAAAAATTACAACAACAAAGTTCAAGGGAGCTTTAAAGATCGACAAGCATTGGTCTTTAGTAATTTTCTTAGGAACATTATCGTAACAACTAAGGATGACTTCAAGCGAAGGTATCTTCGACAGCGTTCCCTAGGATATGGAAGGTTGTCAGAAAGCTGAGGATAGCTTCAAGAGAATTTATCTTCGACGACGTTCGCTAAGATTGTGGGGGTTATCATTAAGATTTGAGAAGATAACATGAGATGGGCGGTCTTCGACAGTATTCGCTAAGATTGTGGAGGTTGTCACCCAGATTTGAGAAGATAGCACAAGGTGGGCAGTCTTCGACAGCATTCGCTAAGATTGTGGAGGTTGTCACCAAGATTTGAGAAGATAGCACGAGATGGGCTGTCTTCGACGGCATTCTCTAAGATTGTGGTGGTTGTCACCAAGATTTGAGAAGGGCGGTTCGTGATGAGGCGGTCTTCGACGACTTTTTCTATGATTGGGAAGGTTGTCATTATGATTCAGGAAAAAGGCTCGATATGTAGCAGCATTGATCGATGGCGTTCCCTATCTTGTGGAGGGTTGTCACAAACAACTAGAGGTGATTTCAAGCGAAGTTATCTTCGATCGTATTCCCTGGCTTGCGGAAGATGGTCACAAGGCGGTAGAAGATTGTTTCAAGCGAAGTAGTTTTTGATAGGATTCTCTGGCTTGCAGAAGACTATCACAGCGAAAATTGGAGGCAGCTACAAGCGTAGTAGTTTTCAAGAGGTATCCCCTAGCTTGAGGAAGATCGTCACAACAAATCGGTTACTCCTAGAGACGTGTGCTCGACGGTGCAAGATACACGTTTCTTAACTCTTTTATTTGTTTTAACTAACGCTAGTTTGCAGGTATCAGCGTTACAAGAATGGTTTAGGATCGTAGAACGTTCTGAATCATTCTCCGTCCCTATCGCAACTTTGACTTTTGTTTTCGAAACATAAGTTTCTCCAAACTCAGTTAAAGTGGGGGCTTCTATAGACACCCAAATGTGTCTCCCCAAAACCAAACCCAGTGATGAATACCTTTCATGTCATTTGATTATCGAACGAGGTAAAAGTGTGAAAAGTCTAGTGATGAGGATGTTTTTATTAAAATATCTCTTTCTGTTTTTGAAAATATTTCTTTTCTTACCCTATTTATGAAAAACGTGCATTCCAGTTTAGTTTGGTTCATTATAAGGGTCCAATAATAGTGTAGATAGATGGGCCTTTCCAACGATACATTATAAGCCCAATTCCGATGAATAATGAGGAAGTTATGGCCAAAATACTAAACTGGGCCCGGTTTGGTTCTTATATGCGGCCCAATGATCTAGAGGAGGGCCTATATTTAATTATCATTCCTAAATCTATTAGGAATTATTATAGTTTCTATAATTCTCTAGAAGGTTCTCTTAAATCCTAATGGAATTAGGATTGATAATTATGTTTCAAAGAGTTTGAAATTGAATAAAACTACTCCTTTTGAGAATCCTTGTTTTGTACGAGATAGAATATATTCAGATTTTATTTTTGTGCCTCATAATCTTTATCAAAATATTATATGATTGAATAGAGCTTGAAATTATCTTTCCAATGATATATTATAATATTAAATCCGAGCTATAACGAAAAAGATATGAATGGAATATGAAACTCTATCCAAAACTGACACCCTTCCATTATTTCGGCCATATATTTTTAAATACAAAATATTTTAATATAATTTTAATTGGGTTGGAAATTATACTTCAAGAGCTTTCCAAAGACATATTATATGACAGATTTGGACTTCTGGATCAAAACATATGATAAAAAAGAATCCGCAAAAACTGTCTTGCAGCGCCAAACGACAGACCCTGTCGCCTGGCGACAAACCCTGTCGCCTAGCGACAGATTCTGTCGTTGATGACAGAAGCGTGTTTTATTCCTTTCGAACTCTGATTCTTTTCTATCGATTCCGGACTATTTTATTATTAATAGGGTCCCTGGACCTTCGTTTTTCAACAACTAGAATTCTCTAATTCTTCTCTCTCTCTCTCTAAGCTAAAGCTTATTTTCTCTCTCCCTCTTTCTAGCCTAACCTTTTACAAACAAAATTCCTCATACATTAGCACTAGACACACCTAGACAAGTTCGAAGTTGCCTTTTCCCTAGACGTGAAAGAAAGAGATACGAGGCATCCAAGTAAGTACTTTAATTGTTTAATTAATATTTTTGATATAGAAACATGTTTAAGTTGTTATTATGGTTTATAGTATCATAATTGACATGGTAAAGTCGTATCCCCTAATCAAAAGTATTACCTAAGTCCTCTAATTAATGCAGATAGGGAAGTAGGGTTGAATCCACAGAGAAACGAGTCTTTCTATTCCTTATTAATTAAAGTATTCTAAATTATAAAGTAACCAATATGTAAATTTGGATATGAAACTAAATTACGAAGATTAAGAATAAGGAGAAAACAATGAATAAAAGGATCTAGGGCATAGGTTCACCAATAAATAATAGGAAAATTGTAAACTAATAATCCCACCTTTAGTGAGTCTTCTATAAACAATCCCACCTTTTGAAATTCCAGAAACAATCCCACCTTTGGTAGGGATCTTCCATTAACGATCCCTTTGACCTATAACCTGTTAAGCAGGTTAATTTTTTTTAAATTTTTTTCAAAGTCACATGTGACTTGATGATTGGACAAAATAGTAAAAGTTAACAAAAAAAAAGGGTAAAAAAATAAAAATAAAAAACAAAAAGAACCCCACCAGCCACCCCCACAGCCACCAGCCACCCCCCAACCACCGAGAAACACCTACCCCATACCCTAGGCCCAACTAAAAACGGCCGGAAAACACTACCCAGCCGCCGAAAACCCTTATGATCGCCGAATACCGCCATCCCAGCCCCGATAAACCCCTACTTATGAAAACCCTTACGACATTTTTGACAGCTTCTGACGCCAAACAGGCTTGCTTCTTCCTCTTCCTCCTCCCTGCATCATTCCGCGCAGCCTCTCATCTGCATCAGCTATACCTGCACTGCTCAACCCTGTTCGTATGCCTTCAAAATTAGCCTCCGAGTGAATCAACGGGTCTCTCAAAAGATCAGATGCTGCAGATCTGTCATGTGGAAGTGCCAGACAGACATCAATGAACTCCCTAATCTCAGGATCTGTCACTTTTTCAAACGCAGCAGGCCTTACACCCCTCTGAACACGCGACTGAATCTCATCGCGATTCTTGCATTCGCTGTAAATCTTTTCTTTACTCATCATCTGAACCACGCACATCCCGAAAGAATACATGTCAGCCCGCTGATCATAGTCCAACAGAAAAACCTCTGGTGCCATGTACTCTGGTGCATCAGGATAGTCCTGTAAATCAGCACCCTCTTCAAGCCTTCTCGCGGCACCAAACTCTCCTAGCTTAACCTCGCCTGTATTCCCATTAATAAAGATGTTCTCGAGGTTAACATCACGGTGCATAATCGGTGGGGTTTGACTGTGCAGATCTGTCATGTGGTGCCTGTATTTTTTTTTTTTGGCTTTTTTTTTTTAATTATTCAAAAAATAAAATGAACCTATAAAAAATTGACACATGGCATATAACCTAAGAAATCCGGTAACTAAAATAATCAAATCGGTCAGGGATTGTTAATGGAAGATCCCTACCATAGGTGGGATTATTTCTGGAATTTCGAAAGGTGGGATTGTTTATGGAAGACGCACTAAAGGTGGGATTATTAGTTTACAATTTTCCTAAATAATATTCCAGGGTAAAACACAATAATCAATCATCAATGCATACATTAATCAGATCATAAAGGGCTTTCGCTACGTATTACAATCACACAATTAATTTACCGGTATTAAATCTCATCTCTCGAATCTCGACTTAACCATTTATAAATTAACCTGCCTATTGAAACTAGACCTAAACATCAATTCTCATCTGTTGAATCTCGAATCAATATTGTTAAACTCATGCATAAAAGATCTGCGCAAATCTAGTCACAGAGCATTAAATCAATCAATAGGAAATTAATCTAGCATTGACAATTAACAACCATAAATTACCCTTTCATATTATTTATAGATCCCCATAAACCCTAGAAATAGAACTACTCACACATAATAAAAACTAAACTAATCAAAGCAATAAAACAAGACATGATCAAAGGAATAAAAATAAATAACTAAGATTAAGAGAAGAGAAATTGTTACCAGAGAAAAGCTGGAATTAAGAATAGAGTTAAGAACAAAGTATAAGAGAGAAAACTAACCTAAGAGCTAAGTAGAGAAAGAAAATCTAAAACAGAAGGTGATTAAAATTCGTACCAAAAATCGTACTTAAACCTCCCTAAAACAAATCCTAATTGAAAACTAATCAGATCCTTAGAAAACACGCGCCCGATCGGGCGAAGGGCCGCCCGGTCGAGCCCGCCTTTTTTTACTACGCCCTTGCTGGTGTGCTGCGCCCGATCAAGCCTACGCTCACCAGATCGGGCGCGGCTTCTTCCTTGATGTTGCTTTGTGCGCCGCCCGCCCGATCGGGCGTATGCTTGCCCGATCAGGCCTGGCTTCTTCTTCGAGGCTTGGATTTCGATTGGGCTCAATTCCTTGGCCCAATCCGGATTTCCTCAACGGGTCTTGATTACTTGATCCAATTGCCCCGGTATCACATACCGAGCCCTTAATCACCGGCTTGATGACTCTAACCGGCCTTGAGCTTCAAAGATGGTCGTGTTCCTCTAATTTCTGTAGTTGATCCATGAAAACCCGGGAAAATGCTCCAAAAGTGCAATTTCCTGCAAAACTCAACCAAAACTACAAAAACACTAGAAAACACTTATTAGTAATAAAAGTGGCTATAAAGAGCCAAAAACACTACTCATTATAACCATGGGACGGGGGTAAAACACTATATAAAATAGACATATCAAACTCCCCAAGCCAAACCTTTGCTTGTCCCTAAGCAAAGATCTCATCAATGAATAAATAAATATGCTTCACCCCAAAAAGTAAAAATCAAGAACAAACGATTCAGGGTAAATTAAACAAACATGCTTCAAAATAAACCAATCAAATCCATTTAATTATCCTTCCTCCCTAACAATTGTCAAATAGAGAAAACCACAAGAGCATATAGAATTCAAGACTAGTGCTCACACACTCAACTCTCATTTATGTGGTGAGTAAAAGATGTACTCGATCGCTCTCCAACCAACCCCTTTAATGTGAACAATTCCCTCCCAACTCACACTCTCGTGTGTTTAAAAAGATGTACGCTCAACCTACTAGTCGACTCGAAATATGTCAAATCATAACTTGCATTGATAAACAACACTTTCACATTTATACAACTCTATGCACAAAGGTCGAAAGGTCTTTAAAGCTTGTAATGTAAGGCTGGGGTAAAGGGTAGGAATCATTTTGGAACAAGTGAGAGAAAAGCTATGCTTAAGGGAGAAAATCCTAATAAAACCCGTGATCAAAATAAATAATGACCAAACATCTCCAACATAACCAACTCTAACAAAAATCCACCAAATACAACTCCAAACAATATAAACAATCCCAACTCTTACAATTTCACTCATAAGATATAATAATGAAGAAGTGGAGTGAATAAACATATTTTATTTTCCAAACTTGAATTTTCATTGAAGCTCGATTTTTTTTTCTTTTGATCAACCTCCAACTAGAACATTTGAACATTGAACAATTTTTTTCTTTTTGCTTTTTATTGAAGTTCACTTATTATTTTCACTTTTTTTTCTTGAACTTCTCTCTTTTTTTTCATAACATCATACTTTATTTTTTTCAAGAAAATATAACTTTCAAACTCATCAAAAATAAACATGATCAAGAACAAAATAACTTCTCAAAACCCACCCAAATTGTGCAAATAATAAGCACGCTACAAACTCCCTCACCTCACTCACTAATAGCTCCCCCAAGCCAAGCTTGGGACTAGTAACCAATGGGGCAAAATAGTCTTATAATGTGGCTAATAAACAACAAAAAGTCAAGGCAACAACATGGGTAGCAAGAAGGGAACAAATGTATCTACAATCATCTGGAGGCTACCTAAAAGAATGAACGCCTTCGTCCTCCTCAATGTGCATAATAATGAATCATATAAACATTAATTATAGTTGCAAACCAATACTCAAATTCATTGACATACCAGGAACTATCACACATTCCTAACCCAATCAACTAGTCAAGCACTATATTCACAAATAGTTGGCAAAATTGACTCATGTTAAGGTTTCAAGGCAATCAAACATCAAATCATGATCAACTAATCCACAATGTTTATCATCATATACCAAGAATCAAAACAATTTTCCTCAAGTATGGGGCACAGGGAAGCATAATTTATAATTCATTGGAACGTATTTTTGGAATTTAATTTTTCAATCTTTTTGTATTTTTCATATATAAGAAAGCAATTAAACTAATCTAGAAAGCAATAAATCTAACCTAAGAAAACACACCAAAAATAAAAGAAGAGAGAAAAAGAAAGATACCAAATCCAAAATCTCCCCCAAGCCAGAATCAGACAATGTCCTCATTGGCTCGGGAACTAGCCTAGCATAGCTAGTCCTGATCATCCTCATCCATCCTCGAATAGCCTCCTCCATGGCTCGAACAACCACCTCCGTAACCCGAACCACCTGTAAAATAGTTAGGGTCTACATTCCCCCCAAGCCCACCAAAAGGAGCATCGGTCCCATAACCGTGGAGCGAAGAGTAGTCCACATAGGTAACAAAGGCACTTGGGTCCGAATATCCTCCTTGGGGATATTGAAACCAATCGAGAACAAGTGAGTCGGGGGGAATAGCCCCCCCGACGTGCGTAGTCATCATACATGGGGTATAAACCCCTCCCAAGTTTTCTCTCCACATGCCCCACCCTCCTATCTAGAGACCCTACTCTCGTATCCAAGTTTTGCACCATACTCTCCACTCTCCCTTGCCCCATCTCAATCCTATCTAGTTGGCTCCTAAAAGCCAAGAAGTCATAAGTGGAGTTTAATTGGGTCAATGTTATAGTTCGTGGAAGAAGTGGGGATGTCATAAGTGTAGGGATGGGGTGGTGGTTGAGGGTGAAATTGAGGTTGTGGTGAAGGTGGTGCTTGGTGAGCCGCTTGAGCCTCACCTTGGTTGCCTAAAATAAAGGTGTAAGAAGGTTGACCCTTCTCAAACTTAGTCAAAACGGGGTTAGGCAACGTAAAGGGATTGTCCCTTCTACCCGACTCCCTTTGGATGACCCACCAAGTTTCACCCCCTATGACATTGATCCAGTTGAGGCTACCTAAGTAGGGTAAGTCCATATGAGTTGGGTCTGCTACCTTCTTAAAGTCGTTAGGAACAAAGTTAAGGTGCTTGACCGCTATGTGGGTGATTAAACCGCCAAAATAAATAGGGGCCCTAGACCTACCACTCTCGGCCGCATTGGCCGCCCGTTGAAAGTGTTGGGCTATCCTATGAGGTGTGTTTAGCTTGTCACTCCTAGGGATCGTGTAAGACCCTAACAACTCTAGTTCGTCCCTCCTTACATTGGCAGGTTCATGCCTCCCAAAGATAGTGGGGCCAACAGACCGTTGCCAAAATTTTGGCACGGGATGTTGTATCCAAGTCCCCTTGGCATGTTGGAGGTTTAGATTAGCATCCCCCATGAGGGATTGATAGACAACAGCAATGTTGTCTTGGGGTGGTTCAATAGGCCTACCCGATTTTAACTAAAATAATTTACCAAATTCTTTCAAAGTCAATCTCACATCATTATTAAGCAAACGGAATTGAACATGAGTAATTAAAGCATTAGATATTATCACATTAAAACTAGAAATAAATTCAAAAGTTAAATAGTCACAAGTATCATAATGCAATTGAAATAAACCACTCATTCCAATACCCTTAAACAATTTTTCTACCGGCTTATCGATTCCTATCCTAGAAAGCGTAGAATGATGAACAAAACGTGTAGGAATTACCTACCTCAAGATAAGGTTGAGCATCATTTGTCGTTGTTCTTGTGAGGCTATCACCACCTCGCTCCATCCCGGAATTTGCAGCTCCGGGTCAACCAATGGTGGTTGTTGTTGCCTTGAGCTTTCACCCCTTGTGGTTCTAGATCTTTTGGATGCCATTTTTGTGAGAAATGGTGGAATTTGAAGCTTTCTCTCTCTTAGGGTTTTGGAGAAATTTGATAGAAAGTGGTAGAAATTTAGTGTAGATCGAAAGGAAAGATGAGGGGATTGAGAATATGTAAAAAAATTTGAGTTTGGATGGAAGAATTTGAGGAGATCTTGGAAAAAATGTGAGGTTGAAGGTTTGAAAATGGAGGTTTTAGAGAGAGAAAGTGTGAATAAAGAATAAGAAGTAAGAAAGAAAAGGACAAGAAAGGGGGAGAAGGAGGAATTAATCCTCCGGATTTTAGGCGTGCCCGATCGGGCGAATATAGGTGCTTCTGGAATGTGAAGTACGCGCCCGATCAGGCGAACTCC